TGGAAAATAGACGCAAAAAACGCATGCGTTGGGGTGAGGAGGATAGGTGGAGGGTACTTGAGGTAATCCCCAAGACGCCTGGGCCCGAGGCCTCGGCGGATTGGGTGTGGCTTCGAGCTGTAACAAAGGATACAGCGTGCAGAGAAAGCTAAGAGACATGATGTCCAACATGGCTTACGGCCGGTCAAAAAGCTGTGCTTGTTGCACGGTTTCCGCAGTTAAGCACCTTGGAGTGCCGAAATGGTTAGTAGCAGAAGCAAAGTGCAGGAAAGCGAAGACTTGGCGACAGTGACTGCTCTAGATTGACTCTAGATGCTTTTTTGTTTGCCGCCAGCGGAGGCTATCCCGGAGAAGGTCCTGTGGTGGATCGCTTCGCCAAGTGGCGAGCAAAGCCTCAGCCCCATGATTGTTCATGGGGCGAGGGAGGGAGGGAGGGAGGGAGAGAGGGAGGGAGACAGTGCACCGGAAGCGTGCGCGAAACGAGTTTGTCATCGAGCTAGAAGAGTCGTGCCGCCATCACATCTACTTGCCTTTGCCTGGAGTCTACTTAGTCTACTCGCCCAGTAAGTATTGCCCTCTTCAGCACCTCGCCTGCTGCCGAGCCGGACAATGCGCTCCACTCGGTATGATCTGTTCTTGTGGATGTTCACACGAAGGCTCGGCCGCGACCTCCTCAGCGCTGCCGAGGAGGGCAATGCCGCCGTGGTGAAGGTATGCTTGGAGCAGAAGGCTCATCTTCTGGATTTCAAGCAAGAGAAGCGCTTGGTCAGAGTGTTGGGACTTGAAAGGCTTGCGTCTTGATGTGTCTCGCATTCCTGATTCAGATTCCTGCAGTTGGAAAGATAGCATGCTTCATGCACACAGGCGAAGTGTATCAAATTGAAGGGCTAGGTTAGGTTTGCTTGAGGTGCACTTTGATCGCCGCCGCTGCCAGATTTGCTGACTTACCAAACACACACATCCAAGCACATCCTGAAACCCCTTCTCCAGCCCTAGCATGCCCTAGCCAGGCAGATCCTTCGGTGATCTCCTTGGATTCAGGCATGCTGTTGCATGCAGTTTGCTCCCGTTTGCTACTGTACTGAACACGCTTGCTTTACACGTGAAACCATGTGACAGGTCGCAGCCCGCTTCATGGAGCTGCCGCGTCCGGCAATCTAGAGGTTCAGTTCAGAAAGAGGGCGACGGGTTTGTGGAAGTTCTGGGTTCGTACTCAAGCTGTAAACACTCTGGCAATGAAGCGTGGCAACGGAATCGTTTGCCTTTGCAAGGTAGGTTTCTCCTCCGAACCGGGCATCAGTCACTCATCCATGCAAGCTTTCCAAAGCTGCGCCTTATTCCCTAGGCTTGCATGGTCTGCATCGTGTGCCAGCTTACGACGGGAGAGTGCAGTGATTTCTTGTCTTCATCAGCTTTTTGGAGACAGGTCATGCGAGACCTCATCCACGCCAGCGCATTAGCCTTATGGGGCAGAAGCATCATTGGGGGCAGGGCTCATCCTTCGCACAGTCGCTGCCAAGGTCCGTGCCCGAGTGGACCTGAGCCTGGCCGACAACTCCAAGCGGACAGCGCTCGACGAAGCCCTCGATGCCCGGGCCTCGGATGAGAGCCGGAGGGCCGGATCCTCGTGCGTTGTTGGCGCTTGCTTTCTGCACAGGTCCCGCAAAGGCTACACATGCCTGCAGACTTAGCGGTCCCACTTCTAGCCACTGCAAAGGAGTCCTTCAAGCATGTCCGCAAAGTGCAGCTTGAGGTAGTTCAAGCGTTTAGCACTCGCCACATTCCGAAATTCCATCCATCTGTGGAGAGGAGGCTCCTGAGATTGTCACTGAGCTTCAGACCTCCTTGCCCAAGTGGCGCCAGGAGACTCTGGTGTCAATTTGCTTCAACTTTGGCATTCTCTTTGCTTTCGGTTCATGCTAGTGACATGCTCAGCAGCTGGCATACTCAGTAGCAAGTAAGTCCATTCTCGAAACTCCATTTTGACACACATGATTTCGAATTCCGCAGGCGCTGTTAACGGTCCTCTCCTGCTGCACAACACCGTTGCCCTTGGCCAGAGGCTTTCTCCCAGTTCCGGAGTGCTTGTCCGCATTCCAGGCATCGTTGCAGTGGCAATTTAAGGTCCACGAAGCAGCTCTCGCTTCTGTCCTCGGGGCTTGGGTGTAGGCCTCGGCCTGTCGGCTCTGGAGCTCTTTGTCAACATGGAGACTTGGCATCGAGCTTTCGTGCGTCATCCAACCTTGAGCTCAGCCGTGAATCCATTTGCATAGAATGATCGGGTTTAGGCACTGCTGCGGACAGAAATATAGACCTGCGCTGCAAGCTCATGTCTTGCCGCCCAGTGCTTCACTGGCGCACGCGGTGGACCGCCATCGAAGGTCCAGGCTTGTTGGAGCTTCGTGAGTGCAGCCTGGGAGACCGGTGATACGAAGTGTCCAGTGCTGCCCTTCCCTTCCGTGGGAGGAACTTCGGAGGGCCCTCTTCACTAGTGTGGCCAACAACAACCGCAGTGCAGTCGTCCGCGAGCCTGGTTGTGGTTTGTTGCTGCGTGGTCCCGCTTCATCACATGCTGCGAAGCAGACTGAAAATTGTCTTACCTTTGCTGCAAACGCATCCACTTCGCAGCCTTAGGCTCAAGGCAGAGTAGACTACGGGTATCTCAAAGAGACGAGCCACGCGGGTGGCGCTCACCCTCTCGAACTGCACGGATCATGCCGAAGTTCTATTGCACCGGGGCCGCACTGTTCGGCACACTACAAGCTTAGACAGTCTGGCATCAGCCAACACAGTCCAGACAAGCTGCAAGAGCCGTCCTCGTGGCGCCAGAAGGTGTGTCAAGCTTCAGCCAAGCGGGTTTTCGCATTCTCCCAGTTCTCGCTTCGGCCTCAAAGCAGCGACCCTCCGTCTCAGTGCTTGGTGACTTAGTGTCCAAAACGTCCACGCCGTCTAGCCCCAGCAAGCGGCTCGTGACACCAGCGACTGCAGTTCCACCTGCCGAGGCGAGTACTGCGACATGTTCCTGGGACACAGGGGAACGTCTGGCCGAAGACAGCATATGACGGGCCGACGGCACATCAACAACAAGCCTCTCAGCGAAAATGCATTGAGTCATGTGTGTCTGAAGGTCGCACTCAGTGATTCCTGAAACACTCGCTCCAAGGATTGAGTTCTATCAGATGCTGATCCGCGAGAAAGGGCTCACTCCGCCCATATATCCCCCTCCGCAGGCAATCTCGAGAGCCTCAATCACCGCAGAATTTGGGAGATTGCAGGGAGTTGTGGCAGGGCGACTGTTTCGGTTCTGAATCATCCCCAGACATGCAAGCAGCAAGCATCAAGACGAAGCCCAGATTGTCGAGCGGTCACCTCGGACTTTGCCACGTGCCCGGCCGACCTAATCAAGTGCACATCCCCTAACTTCAAGGCCTCGATGTTTGCCAAGAATTTGCAGGCATGGTGCTGCCAATGCCGAAACTGCCGGCAGCAGCCGCGCCGAAGCCGGCACTCGGCGGGATTCTGCCGGGCATGCCTCATGGCACTAACAGCGACAGGCGGACATAGTCTGGTACGTGCCTGCATCTTTGCACGATCCAGGATTCAAGGTCGACCGTCATGAGTCATGTCTACATCGGCCCCGAAGCCAAGCCGACCCTTGAGTCGGCCTCATTAGATTGAGCTGGCCTGAAATTTCATTGATACGATGCGCTGGTCCATTCAAACACGCCCGTGAATGCCCACCGAAAGCAGTGATCCAAACATCAACATTCGATCGATCTAGCGTTTGTTGATCCGAGTGGCCACCCGTGCCTTCGTCCGGCTTAGAAAGCTCGTTCATGCAGGTCATGCATCTCCTGAAGGTACAGGCACAACTGCAGTCAATTGCAGGTTCAACCCTGCAAATATGTGTGAACCTATACATGGCTTGGCCTTTCCGTGACGAATCCCTTTCACAACCTCCAGCATCTCCACTTGCACTGTGTTTGATGTGTCTTGTCAGGTGGTAGCTCGAGGGAATGACAGCATTCGACTCGCCAAGGCTTTCCCCCACCATGCCGAAGCTGCCTGGTGCGATGCCAATGCCAGGCATGGCCATGCCTGGCATGCCAGGCCCGGACCAGAACACCCGACTCATCCGTCATGGCGCCCTGCCCAAATCCACTTAGGTACGTTCTAGCCGATTCAACGTGGTTGCCCAACTCCATGTAGTTGAAACCCCAGTTCAAGACGGACGCTCTGCCGTGTGCTTCCAGGCATGATGCCTGGCATGCCGATGATGTCTTAGATGCCAGCGTGAGCTCTGCAAATCCTCGCGTCCACGCTGACCTTGCCACAACTGCTGGGAGATGGCTGAGAAGTATCTATTATCAGCCCTGATTCTTGAAGAACCATCAGCAAGATCCTGTATTTCCGCATCGTCGCTAGATTTGACAGTGAAGGTTGCAGATGAGAAGCTGGCCCGGCCCACCTGAATACCTTGCATCTTCTTGTTTAGCTCGCTCCTTTCTGGCAATCCGGGCGCTCATGTCCTTGATTTCTTAGACTCTTTCTTGTCCAGCCGCTAGACCGCCGTTGCCGACCTGATCAGGCAAGCGCAGACTTTTTTACTGCTACTGCGCACGGCGCTGTTGCGGTCTTCAGCTGCAGAGTCCCAACCTCCTGCCACCCAAGGCTGTAAACATTTATTTTGCCGTTGTTGGTGTCAGACTTCCTCGCGTAGATGGGCAGCACCCAACACTGCCTAGCACTTCAACGTTACTTCATTGGTTTTAGGATTTTTAGGAAAAGCAAAGCGATTTTGTCGATTTCAGGGGCTTTGTTGTGCCTGCTGCTAGGTCCACTTCCATTTGGCACAGCCCGTACATTTCCAATCAGTCAAACCTTGTTGGGTCAAAGGCTGTGCGTTATTTCTCGTTAACTATTTCCGCAGGACAAAGTGCACCACGCATTCTATACCTTAACTGGCTCTCCACCAGGAACTGTGGTAGTGTAATTTCTTCCATGAAACATACATACTCCGCCATACCCACGCAAAACGGTCCTGTGGCCGCTTCTCCCGGCATATGCGCATGCTAAAGTAGGAAAACATTCCGTATGTCGAAACTTAGTACGGCGTCCAGATGGTCGAAACTCCCAGCAGTGAGTGGACGCTTTGACAGCAGGCCAGCACGCGAAGCTGCTTAAATCTCGTTTCTGTGGAAAGGCAGTGCGCAGTTGAAGTGCGCGCTCCTACACGGGATGTTTGATTGCGTTCGTGGTAGGCCTATGCAATGGACGGACGTTCTGCACGGCAGTGAAACCAATCCTCTCGCCTCAATTGGTGATTGTTGAATATCAGCTACCCCCTTCAACTTCGCAACGCTGTGCAGTACTTCCTGACCGGTGTATGTCCCACACAACAAGAGGCCACGACCATTGCTATAACATTTGCCTATCTGTGAGTATTGAGTACCGGCCGTGTGATGCGGCCTTCGACTTGACCAGGATTGATATACCAACAGCCGCGGCCGTGAAGAAAAGGCATGGTTGATTTGCGCGCAGAACAAGCGTCAGCGCTGTGCTCGCTGGTCATCACCGTTTCAAACTTGCAATCTCGGCTCGCTGTTCGTGAGAAGCACGGGCGGCGGGGTGGCACTCACTTCGTCATGCAATTGAAATCTCAAGAGTGACTGCAGCTTTCAGATCGTGGCAAGACCATGCAACTCGGGAATATGCAAAATGAGGAAGTCTCTCCACAACAGCATGCACGCATTGAGCTCCGGCTTGTATCCGCGGGTCTGTACATGGTGCTTTGTCAATCATATTCTGTACTCTATAGGATTTGCCAGAGAGCACAGCGCTTGGTTGGACCTGTATCCGATCGATCCTGAAATTGATCATATGCCATCAAATTTGTAAAGCTCACAGGCTCACCAGCGCAATGGCAACCCGAGCTCCCCCAGCAGACTTCTGATCAACTCTCGCGGTCTCAGTCCCAAAGCCTGCCTAGACTCCCCTCACCTCCTGCTGGGACATGGTGCAAAGACGGCGGTGGGCAGGCAGCCGAGGGGGTCCTCAAGCAAACTTCTTGTTTGGCCGTTTGCGAGCTGGGCTCATGTCAGACATCCCAGCTGGTTTGCGACATGTGCTTTTCAGGTTTGTTCGCGGCTTTGAGCGCGTCAGTTGGCGCTTCGCTTCTCGGACCGGTAGTTTCCCAGATCTTTGGGAGAAAATCTGAGACGTCAAGTTGGCAAGATCAGAGGGTAGCTTGACTCGACACGAGCTTGCAGAATGCACAAAAGGACGTACGTAGCCGACGTGAGACAGCCAGCTTGCCTGGCCGAGAGAAAACTTGAAAGCGGCAGTTGCCAAGGCTGGCTTTCGTGGCGCGATGTCAGACGCATGCTGCTCGGTGAAGTTGGAACGCGTTATGCGGTTGCACACGCTTGTTTTGTAGCCTCGGTCTGCATAGTCTATGGCTCTATGGGTCCGCTTAGCCGGTTTATAGCTCCGGTTGAGCAGACCAATGGTCAGTGTGGCCGTGTGAGAGAAGTCTAGTAGAGTCTAGAGAACTCTATCGCAAAGAGCATTGGAGAAGAGGGCTGAAACGACCGTGATTCTCAGCTGATCTCAAGGCTGCCAGAGATGGCGGGTGGGTACAGCGCCATGCTTGCCCCAAGCTGGAGTCCAGACGACAGATTACAGAGAAGGACTGGACAGCTCAGCTCAAAGGATAAATTCGGCAAGCCAGTTCAGAAGCCTGCGCAAAAATGCGTTGGGAATTCTGCACTGCTCTCGCCCGATGTGCATGATGTTCTTGTCAGGACCTCGTAAAAGAGAAGCGCTCGGTTCGTGGCTTGGATGATGTTGGTAGCTTGTTGTTCAGAGTGTGTTTCCCTGATATGCTTTTCACGATTCACTGGCAAATCTAAGCCGCAGTCTCAGAGCCATGAGTTGTTGAACAATTTGCGACATGTTGAAAGGAGATTTTTGTCATTCGAGTTCCACGAACTGTTCCCTCTGATGGCTTCGGTGCGTGAAACATGTGTAGCTTCGGGGCGCCACTGCAGCTTCCATTGAGGAAAGCTGCTGCTGAACAAGAAGGGCGCTGTCTGGCTTTGGCAGATGTTCTGCACAGAGCCTCTTGGCGAGACAGCCGAGGTCTGCTTGGTTATTGGAAGGACGTAGATCTTTGAGCCTACCACGATCATCGTGCCTGCCCTGGGGCGAAGGTGATGCATCACGTTGATGTGAAACGCTTGTGTTGAGACTTGTTCTGTATCGGGCTGAAGGCCAGGATGCGTTTCCGCACTTTTGGAGGGAAGGTCAAGAGAGCTGACTTGACATGTTCCAAACTTTGCAGACGGACTTGTCAGATCCAGGAAAGGGCAGCGAACCGCCGACTTGATTGACATTCCAGACTCTAGGCTGAATTCTGCGATGTCGTCAGTCGGCCTGCCTCGACCTGAAGTTGAGATCGGCTCCCCCCACAGTCCTATAGTCAAATGGAACATCAGCATTGACAGCTCCGCATGTGCTGACACGAGGTGCAGCTTGCAGCGCAGTTCCTAGCCACCTTCGTGGGTGCCCATGCTGCGGTGGAATGGGCCTCCAAAGACCTGATCACGGCCACTGAGCTGATTGTAACCGCATAGGACCCAGCTCCAGGTGCTTCTTACAGCGACCAGCTCCCAGCCTGAGTCCTTGAACCTTTGACCTTTGCTCTATCGCAAGGAGTTGAACGAGGAGCGCATGAGCCCTTTGGCGCAATGGCATTGGGCTCCTCGGACAGAAGGTTGTTTTTGCCTAGTGCCCGGCAGTGAGGAATCGCACCCCCATTTTAGCTTCCACAGTAGCAACAGCCATTTTCTGGCTCTTCAGCGCTGTCATGAGCCTCTGGCTACAGCAACCCAAATTCGGCAGGCCAACTACTGCGAGCGGAACTGTTTCAGCATCCGAAATCCGTACAACTTGCCATCTGCGGTCCAGAGCTCAGCTACTGCATCACTGGAGTTGTTAGCACCAGAAACCTTTCTACTGTACGCACATCTACTGGCGTTATCAGCAAGCAGCAGGACAAAGAGGTGCAGGGCGGGAGGTAGAGTGAAGAAGAGTGCAAGTCTCCCCTGACTGCAGAAGTACGGAAACTCCTCATGTATTGGTCCGAGTCTGGTTTTTGCCCTCCAGCACCAGCCGTCTCACTTGCAGGGCCCAGCGAAAGAAGGATGTAGGGGCGGCTGACGTATGTTTCTGCAAAGAAACCTTCTGGTAGCTGGAACAGGGACGACGGGCGCGTGACGTTTGAGCACTGCTGAGCACGCCCGGGTACTATCGCGGATGCTCGCCGCATTGAGCGGTCATTGGTTCGGAGCAGTGCTTGTCTGCTTGTCTGAGCTGTCTTGTGCACGGAGAGGCGGGGAGTGTAGGGAGGAGAGACAAGATCGGAGGCGCGGAAAAAGCATAGGGGCCGGGGGCGCAATTATGCTCTTGTTAGTGATGCTTGTTATTGAATTACGTTGCAATCGTGGTGGCCGGTACCCGTTCTGGCTTTCGTCAAGACCACAGAAATGCGAGCGAGACATACAGTTAGAAAGGTATGGTCGGTTGGGACTGCAGCCTGTAAGGCAATGGTCAGGTCAGATACAGTGTGAGATACAGAGATCTGGATTGCGCATCCTGTGCACAACCCCCCTTTGAGGTTTGCCAGACCTGGAAATCTGCACATGTACGCGTGTTGTTGTCATGTACAAAAAGTGGACGTGCAGCCGCAGGCGGCCATGAGCAAAGACTGCAGTGCATCGGCTCGTCGTTTGAACCAAGCCGACCGAAAGCAGCATTATTTGCACATCCCAGGTGGTGACGGACTTCCTTGAGCGGTACCGTGGGGGTGCTTTCGGTGAGGTGGGCGAAAGCTATCAGACTGTCGACTATCACTGACTTTCCCATTTACTCTCCAGCTTTGCTGGTCCAGTTCCCAGAAGGGCGAGCTTAGTGTTTGCAGAAACCATGGATGCAATACGGTATGGCGTATGGGCTCCCCCGCCTGAGCGTCGAGACCTACTGCGGCAGTGGGCACCAACCTGTGCTGTGCCAACTGGCAACTTGCAGGTGGCTCTGTGCTCGGAGGAAGTGGCCAGCAAGGCAACCAGTGTAAACGAGTACTTGCAGCCTGCAGTGAATTGCATCATGTTGCGATGGAGGTTTGGTGAATATGTGTGCCATCTATGGAGGTGAAAGATTTGCAGAAGAAGGGTGGCACAGAGCAGTGGAAGAAGTATGTGCGAGACAAAGACTTCCAGAGCACCTTGGCATGTGAAAATCACGTGGAGGGCTATGGGTGACTGGAAGACTCCAATGCAATGCTTCATCACCAAATTGCAGTCCTCAATTGAAGGAGTGATTGCCCGCTCACAAAATCGACGTTTGGCGTAGTTGGACACAGAGACCTCGTCTGGTAGAGTCCGAGTTGCGAGCGCGTAGTTGAAGCTCCTTGCCTTTGCCCTCGGGCCTACTGCCGCGGGTTGATCCACTTCGCTTCAGAAGTCCAAAAACTCGAGACGGGTTGAGGCACGAGTGGTTGCCGTAACGGGAGCAGGATGCCCGTAGCGGGAACCCGTAACAGGAACGGGCACCGATCCCGCAACAGCAACCACTAGTTCCTGTAACACCCTCTAGACCGTCGTCACTTCTTTCCTCGTCCTACTTCTGGTGCTAATCTGCTAAGCTGGCCGAAACCCCAAACCCCCAAAGCCGTTTTCAGTGGAGGCAAAAAAAAAGCCGTTGCAAAAAAAAGCCGTTCTCAGGCGTTTAAAGCCGTTCTCGACTGGCAAAGGCCTGAACCCTTGAACCTGACCCGTCAACCCTAAGACACTGAACCCCTGAAGTCCTAAAACCTGAAAGCCTGAACCCCAAAAAACTCAGAAAACACACCAAGCTGGCGCTGGTCAGTCCACCATGGCGTGCAAAAGCCTAGCCCCGCCACCACTGGTAGTAGTACTCGTAGTACGACAACTTCGATTTGCCTTAGTACGAACCTTCCTGTAAGATAAAACATCCATTTTCATTCGACAAAAACAGTATGAAGAAACAACTTGTGGCTTCATGGCATCCTATATCCCATACTGTGAATCCGTTTCTGTATGCCTCGAAACATAGTCAGAATAAGGCTTTTATGGTGTCAAAGTAGGGGACCGAAAACCGGTCCCCCACACAAGAGTTCCAACATAGTCTCGGTTGCTTGGCTTTTGTGGGACAGTTCCTGTTACGCTCCCGGTGCGGTTCCCGTTTCTACTAGCCCTCGTTCCCGTTACGACCCCCAGAAATGGTTTCCGTTCCTCCAGACAGGTTCCGTTTCCCCCCTGCACCCAGCCCAGATAGCCAAGAGCCTCCACAGGTTTAGATCCGCTCAGCTATCCAGAGACCCCGAGCTGCAGTTCAGCATTTACACAGTTCATTAGGCGGTTGGCTTCAACATTGAAGTGGGAATCGGTAGTTCTGGTAGTTATGAATGGCAACGTCCATGATTCTGGTAGACCCGACGAACTTGATTGCCAGGAGAGGCCGTGACACATGCAGCTAAGGAGTTTCGTGCAGGGCTTCATAGACAAGTTCGATCCACAGGCTGATGCACCTCGGGTACACAGCATGCACTTCCGCGGTAATAATGAGCAAGACAAACGGAAGTTGTGTTCCTTCAGTTTTGCAAGGGCATTCGTGTGTTTTGCCATGCTTGCACATGCAACGGTCCACAGCAGGACCTCGACGACACTATTCCCCGCGAGCAGATTCTGTCTAGCAGGAGCGAAGCTTGTGCTGAGATCGTCTGAGAAAAGCATGCATCTCTAGAGAGATTAAATGGGACGAGCAGTCCCGCAAGGAGCATTCTCAACAGCGCTTTGCAACGTGGCTGAGCTTAGGGCTTCTTTTCCGGCTCAGATACCGGCTTCCCCTTCAATTAACATCCTCTTTCCTGGGATTGTCATGTTCGACCCTGGCGCCCAAGCATGAAGGATCCCTGACTGCGCCTTCTACGCATTTCTCATGCATTAGCACACTGTCAAGGATAGCGCTTCAGGGCAGCTAGCGTTGCATTACGGATGCTATAATGAAAGAGCCGCACGACTTCCAGACTGAGCGCAATTCATGACGCATATATAAATAAATATATATACATACATATATATATATATACACACAGAGTATCCATATAATTATTTGTTTCTTTTTTTCTCCCAGAGCCAGTTGCGTGTCCTTGCCCGAGCAGACGCTTGCTGCGACTCTGCTGCTCCAGGGCGCGTCTGCTCACGCGCTTCTCGCGTGAAGAGCTCACCTACGAGTTGGAGCTCCTGGGCGAAGCGAAGTCTTTCCTAAGCTTCTGCTCTGCTCTCTTCGGTGCTACAAATGAGCTGCAGCTACTCGTATTGCGCCGTGAGAGTGCAGATGCATGTCGACATGCAGATGACGGTTTTCGTACTCCAAACGTACTGACAGTGGTGGCCGGCCGAGCGAGGCAGGGGCCCAAGATCCCAGTCTTCAAGTGGACCGGGCTCCGAGGAATCGGGACGTCAAGAAGGCCAAACACCGGGCTACCCTGGTTCTTCCGGGGCGAGCGCTGCTTGGCAACAGAATATTGATCGGGGTTGGCACAGCGCCTTGTGCCTGTCGTTCCGTGCTCGAGAAAGCCAATCTTGAAGTCTTGCTCGAGGGCTAAGTGCCATCCAGATATATGCAGATCACGTTTTAGTTCTGGGTTCTCGCGAGGCAGCAGATTCTGCCGGAATCTTTGCCGATGGAATTTGTCGGAGACTGGCAGCGAACACAGGGAGCGTCCCGATTGCTATTGGCCTTGGCTTGTCACGTCTTTGTGTTTAGAAAGCGCTGCTGTGAGGGTTTGTGCAGCATTTATCGCAGCGGGCAGCAGGTGTGTGAGAAGACACCGGAAGTCTTTTGCCGAACTGCCGCATCATGCTGCCGCCCGCAGGGGTTTGGTGTCCTTGCTCTGGTATGCTGAGGCGGCTGTTGAAGATGCCGCACGAGAAGCCGTGACAGCTTTCAAATCTTATGGACTCGCATAGTTGCTTTCTCGTGTCCCCTTCCCTTCTTCGAAGGGGGGGTGGCAGAGTGGACGTCATGGAGGGCTTAGGTGAATAAAGTTCGACTTGGCTGTTGGGAGCGAGCAAGCGCGTCCAAAAGATTTGCATTGCAACGTGCTTCATGAATTTCACGCGAAGTGTGCTGTGTACTGGGTGCAACTGGACCCAATTATTGATTTGGCATTGAGGGAGTGTTTGATGACAAACCCAGCTGCTGCCAAGGAGGCTTTAGCGATCGCTAGAGCAGACCTCAATCGACTAGATCCACGATCGCGCAGGAGAAGGGAGTGCAGACCATGTGCTTCAACAGCCTCCTTGCATCTCCAAAACATGACACCGCGCACCAATGTCTGGCTGTGAGGACTGCACTTGAACTTTCGGAGGCGGGTTGATCATCGAGCTCGACAGATCCGATGGCCATACGCGAACCTGATGTAAGCTCGTCTTGTCTGTAAGCGGCAGCAGTGCCCAGCTTCGCGCTTCCGTTTGTGCAAGTCAACGATTGTTCACATGGTATGAGGTCTTTCTTGTGCTGTGAGCTGAGAATGCGATGCCAAGCTGAAGCACATGCGGCAATCTGTCACTCTCCTCGTTCTGAAGGCGTTGCTGCACCACGGTGTCGCCGATGTGCTCAGGCGTGCTATGGATAAGTTCCAAGTGATCTTTGTTCTGTAGGCTCTGGCTCCGTTTTCATGCAAGTTGAGCACCCGAGCGATGAGATCTTCAGAGCTGCAGGCAGTATGGCGCTAAGACTGAGCGCAACCCGCACTTCGAGGAATGGGCGTGGAGACCTCGGTTCAAGGGGCGCAGCATGCCCTGCAAGTCATATAAGTTTCAAATCCGAAGGAGCATCTTGGGGTCAAGTTTTGCACAGTGCAAAGGTTGTGCCTTGCCGCAGCGAATGGCAGTGTGCAAGGCAGCTGTTGGGAGTTGGGACACCGAACAGAAATGTGTCCATGAAGTGCAGTGCCTACAGCAGCTGGCCTCGGCCATGCAATTATTCACTCCCTGGAAGCAGCCATTGTGAATGTTGACATGGTGGACCGACCACATACAGGCACCACTCGTTGGCTTGGGCACGGCGAGGCGAGTTCGGCGTATGTGGCTCTGTTCTGCGTACTCAGCCGGTGCTACGACACACTCGCCTAGAGTCCCGCGTCCCGAGTCCCCTCAAGTCCTTTGCACTGACAGGTGGACTGGCGCGACCCTCCCCCAAGTATGAGAAGAGCCTCGATGGCATGTCAAGCCAGCACCTGCAACTGTGCGAAGCCATGTGTAACGGCCGTCTTGCTTCTTGCATGACGCACTCATGTACCTGCCAACAGTCGAGGTACCGCGCTGATGTATGCGGCTGCTGGTGGCCACTCTGCCTCTTGTCCAGATAAGACAAGTCAACAGCGCATGCCATTTCTTCGGAAGGGCTCAGCGCAGAGAGGGTTAAGATAAAGTCTGGTGAGATGCACTAGGCCTCGTTGCTCACCTGTTGCGGGTTGCACCACAGGACGTCGTCATGTCTTTATTGGAGGCCCAGGCACGAGCATCCAGAATGGCTGTCGCCCAGACTGTGTTGTCCAAGACTTGTATTCACAGTATTATATGCTTGCCGCCGTGCACCAAGCGTGTGGCGATGTTTTCACTTGGCGGCCGTTCGGCATCCAGCAACCGGGGGAAGTCGTCCAAATGTCGATGCTCCGCTCTTTTTTGTTTGCATCTTCGTGATAGGCTTGCCCTGCATTGGTGGACCAGAAGCAGCGTGCGCCCTTCGAGATGGCTCGTGAGGAGCGTGGGGTATTGCTCACGGAGCTGAGTTCCGCAATTTATGTGTATGCTCAATGTGTACCTGTACCTGTGCACCTATATCTACATCTACATCTGCATTTTCTGTACGTATCTACACATAGCGTGTGCTTACATATATGCACACAGAGTGATGGCGTGTTTCCAGGTTTTTGTGTCGAGTAGAATGGGGCCTTCAGAAGCGTACTATTGTGTGCTTGTTGCGCCTCACTCGGCTGCACATGTAGGTGCCATTCAACTGCTCGGAGGTCGGTGCTGAAGCACTTGCACGCTATCTGCAGCGTACTGCTGAGCATTGGCGGAGCTCGGGCCTCGACGCCGATGCCTTGCCGGGTGACTTCTTTAAAGTCTGCTCCGGAGACTCTGGCGAGAAGGTAAGAGAATAGTGTTTTTTCTGCCCTGTCATGGGCTTTCACGCAAGACCACATTGACTAGAGCTGCTACATACAAGCTGTCCAACCACGTGACTCGAGTTCCATTTTTGGCCCAGGCTCGAACCCTAGCTCCATGCTTGCGCCTGCCGAGTGGCAGAAGCCATCAGGATGGCGAGAGGCCCTGAGCACCTGTATGGGAGCCCCGCATGGCGTTCACATCTCCTTTTCTCCTACAGGCTGCGCCCGAGGTGGATCCAGAAGGCTCGAAGCGGCTGGGACTGCAATTGACCCATTGTTGGTGCAGCCTCTTCATAATGTTCATTTCGCAAAAGAGACCCCCCCCGAAAGGATGTGATCCATGCTCAGCCGCAGGCGCTCGCGTCAGTGCGGAGTAGCAGACTGAAGCAGAGTGCTAGAGTTACTAGAGTATCAGACGAGTATCAGCTCCTTAGTGCTCTCGTTCAACAAGATTGTGCATAGAGCATAGATTTTCTTTCGCTTCGGCCAATTGGACTCTGCAAATACAGGAGGGTGCAACTACGTGCTTTGAACTGGATTTTGCTATTTCCAGGCGCCTCATAGTGACTATGTCATAGTGTGACGTTAAGTAGCATCGAGACTGATTTTGAACAAGAGTTCATTTGCTGGGCCAGAAACAGAGTCGAGCTGACAACGATCATCAGTGGTAGTTTCCCTCGCCTGTCTTCTCCTGGCTACCCTCTAAGCGCCATGTGTGAAGTGCCATGAAAAGACGGGATGTCCATGAAGCCTGGGAGACAGAAGGAAGATTGAGCGGAAGGAAGCACCATGCTGCACTTCAGTCATGCTCTGCAGACTTGCATCCCAAGGCTGGCTGGCCTAACAGCTGCCGTTCAAGCCAGCCGCAGCATGCAGGTGACGCCACAGCCGTAGCCAGCACTCCTCACGTTGCTTTGCATGTCCGTCACACCGTCTCTTCAGGAACCTCGGGTTTATACGTTTTGATTGTAAGACTGGTTTGCATGACGATCCTGTCTGGATCTGTCCTTCCAAAGCGCGATGCAGTACGAATACTTCGAGTGTTGCGCAGGGAAAGGGGAAGAAGGTCATCATCGAAGCCTGGGCCCCATCATTCCTGTTCGGCTACGATAGCAGACATGCTTCTGTGGCATGGAGTCTGTGCACCGAAACAAGCATCGAAAGAGCGATAATGCTGGTACATGCATATGTTGCATACATTTGATCACCTAGGCACTCATTTCGCATGTTTTCATGGCTGCACATGGTCAGACGCATTGGAGGACTCTGCTCTTTACTGTTCGGCATCTCTCTCTCTCTCTCTCTCTTTTTCTCCCTGGGTTTTTCACTCCGTGGTGTATCTGATACATTCAGGCGTCTGTTGCAGGGTGCTTCACGATACACGCAACTCTCGGCTGACAGGTTCACGGTCGGTAACTGAACAACTCCGGAGACGCAACAAAACGTCAAGCATTGCAAGCCAGCCTCGCGTGTTCTGCAGATGCCAGTGGCTGTAGTGGTGCTCATCTTTCTTGAAGAATGCGACCAAGGTCCTGAGAGCTACAGGCCTTCAAGCCGGTTTGTTCCTCCACAGCTTGGATCCCTTCGTGAAGGCAGCACTTAGCCGCTGAATATCTGCCAGCCTTCCTTCCCCACACGGCTTCAACCTGGCATCTGCAGGTACTTTGGGACACGCTTGTCAGTCCATTTGATGGTCGGATTGTGATCGCTTCGGGAGGTGCGTGTTGGACAAGAGGTGCAAGAGACCCAGTACGTCGTGTTGGGCTTAGCACATGCATGCTCCACTTCGATACTACATGGGGTTTTGCTGACCTCACTTTGTGTTGTGACATGGGCTGCAAGGACATCGAGCGATAAGGCATCATGGCACATCGGGATAGATATTCGGCATTCCATGGCAGCATTTAGTGCTCCTCGACGCGGTAGGCGTTCATGGAAGTGAACAGGGCTTGCAGCCATGAGTCTCACGTCGGCTTGTTACGCACCGATTTACATGAGTGTATGCTCCATCAAGCTTGGCTTGGCCTGGTTTCATGAATCGAGATGCCAGGTCAGCATCACAGATCCAGAGTGGAACGAGCAGTTCGAGTTCTTCATCATGGGCACTGAGGTGCTAAGACATTGTTCTTCAAGGGATGAGCTGTGAGTTAACGTTGGCCATGCTCTACGTTTTCGTGCAGTATGTAAGCTGCAAGTCAACTAGACGTGGATATCTGTAAAGTGCACACACAGACGTCCATGCGCATGCAGGCAGTCTTCTATGTGCATCTATATACTTGAGGCGCACATGCACATGTGCACTCATGTGTAGCGACTTAGGAACTCGCTTATCGGGTCACATATTTGTTTCGTTTATTAGTTCATCTGTTCAATCATATCATCTTATTGCTTCTTGGTTCACAAACACACAGGCCGGGTCCATGGTATCGCTCCCTTCCCCCCGACCCTGTATCGGGGAGGACGGGATGTGCCCGGATCATATATGTCAACGTCTCCCACGCTGGACGAGGTGATCATCTTTTCTGTGTGGGACTACGACCTCACAGGTGGCGAGGCTGGGCCACCCTGTTTTCGCTGGCAGACCCATTGCCATGCGGATCGAAAGAAGATCCTGTGTCTTGGCCGTGCGGTTGGGACACTTGGTGCCTTGTGCAGGAATTGAGTCCCTCGAGCCTTTATGTAGCCGTCTTGGAGAGGATCACGACTTCATCTGTCGTGCCGAGCTTCCACTGAAGCATCATGACCTGCTGGCATGTCTGCCCAATGGGACGGGGTAAAGGCACTTCTGTTTTGACACCAGCCCCCGGCCACTGGCCCTGGCCAGGTCAAAGAGCTGTACAAGGGGCAGAAGGTCATGCTCGAGCTTCACCTTGAAAACAAGGCTCTCACATGCAGATTTCGCCGAGTTCCCGAATGCCCTCTGCCCTGCCACGCAAGTCCGTGTGTCCTAGAGGGATAGAAGTGTTGCACGCAACACAAGGGGAGTTGCGTTGTCGGAAATGCTGAGACTGCTTTGTGCATGCATTAGATGTCGGGTCCCAGCCTGCAGCTCTCTTTAAAAAGTCTACCGATTTGAGGCACGCCTGCTTGCACGAGGCTAGGCAGGCCTGCAATGATTGAGCCTTTGCCAGACTCACGATGATGATTCCACCCTGTTTGTCTCCATGCAGCTGGCAGATTTCGTGTCGAAGCCTCGGGATGCATTTGTGGTGTGGGCCGTATGGTTCAACATGCACTCTATCACAGATTGAAAGCAGGTAACAACGCCTGGTACGTGACCGGCGTTTTGTGGCGTAGCTGAGATAGGAAATGTCCGAAAACCTAAACGTGGTGGTAGGAAAAGCGGAGAATCCCTGTGACAGGTCGATCGTTTTAGCGAAAAAGGTGCTGGCGCTGCAGTAAAAGCCACTTTTGCGAGCACAGCGCTGCGCAAACTTGGTCAGCAGCACTTGTTGGCCGCTTTGCTGATGCATGATGAAGGATCATCATCCATCATGACCCTTCATCATGCATCATCATCATCACCATCATCAACCATCATCAACCATCTTCAGCCATCACCATACAAGATGGTCCGCCATCACGAAAGTACTGTAAATACCGAGTAAAACGGCTCTTGTGGAGAGAATGTTCGGGGTGTTTGTGTACCAATGTCGTCAT